GGTGCATTCATTTTCCTCCTAGCATCTTCCCAATGACTCAATGAGTACATACCAGTTCATATGGGTTTTTTCATGCAGAAATCAGACCACAAATGAAGTTTTCGGACGTTATGCGTCTAGTGTTTTTTTTTGCATCTTTCTGTTAATTTAGTCATCTGGGAGCACATTTTTTTGCAAAATTTAAATTTGTAATCCTTATCTTTTAGCAACGCATTCTGGATGCGCTGGAGATGCAACATAATGGTATGTCAAAAGTTATTCTGTTCATTGTCTTCTCAGATTTACAAGACTACTTCGCTTCCAGCTGAAGCTGAAAATGCTACACTGCGAGGCATCAAGCCTAGACCACAGTTCCAGAGTGGGCAACTAACAGCAATTGGTACTGCACCATCAGGAACTGGCATCCGAAGACCAACAAACCGTTTACACCCACGTGCTGATACATCGCCATTTGGTTCTAACTCTCCATCTAGTAAGTTATCATTTATTACATCGTAACGCCCTGCAATGCCTTTGCCTGAAGTGTTCAGTTTTGACAACTTTCCTTGTGGAAGCGGCTGCGAATTGCGTGACTTGCAGCTTCGTTTTTCATTATCTCAGCGACCACAGCCGCCAATTTGTTGCTTTCGATGTATATAAAGTAATGATAGTACATGAACAAAGACATGCTTTGAATATGAAGACACCTACTTTTAATTGATACCGTCTTTTTTAGAGATTTATTTTTTGAGAACAGGAGATAGTTGCTCCTTAGCTTGCACATCTGTGTATTGCTTTGTTTACTAGGAATTTGTTATTTTGCTAATGGCTTTTTCACTTGGCTTCTAGGTACTTGTTCATCTCCTCCTGCAAACCAGCTTCACGCTGGCCAACTCTTGCCCCCTACGTTACCACTGACTCCGCCTCAAAGTGCTCCTCCACAGAAGGTTTGTTTATCCAATTGCTAATCTTTTTCCCGGGTAGAATCGTTTGTCTTTCTGTGAAGAATTGATTCTACTCAATCTTAGTTCTCACCTGGATTCTTCCGAGGAAGGAGTCGTTCTCCGGGCGAGCGCTTAGAACCACAACGAACGCGAGCACTTGCAAATAAAATAGCCCATGAGGATTGGGAGGTTCGTGACGTTTTCAAAAGACTAGATTTTTAAAAATTTATTTGTATAGAGGAATTTGGGTACAAAATGTTAATACATGATCTAATAGTTCTTCAGAATATAACAATAAGATATCATCTATCGGAGATGGTCAAAAAACCTTCGCTAGGAAAACGTCCAACATTTAGCTTCTGTTAAGTTTTGGCATAGCTGATTGTGATATAAATTGAATGACTGACTTTTCAAGACGAAACTGTCCATTTTTGAGTTACCTGATGATTTGGAAAGTACAACGCTTTTTTTTCTAAAGTATATGGCATTATGATTATCCTATGATCATGAGATCATTGGTTGGATTGCAGCCAGATTTTTTGACTTGCCTTTGACTCAGATTACTTATCTGATTTGATTGCATTTTAGATAGATGAGAAGCAGATAACACTGCAGTGCAAGGTGGGATCAGGCTCTTTTGGGACTGTATACCGCGGTGAGTACTTCGGTCTTGTCGCGGTCAAGAAGCTCAACGTTGGCGAGCCGACTCTGCAGCAGTTGCAGGCATTTAAAAATGAGGTATATCTTTATCTGTTATATCCAACACTATAATGTTTGTTTAGTTTTTGTGAGTCATGTTTTCCATTTATACCATTGTGATGACAATAGTAGCATTTTTAGGTGGCTGTATTGAAAAAAACCCGTCATCTGAACGTGCTCTTATTCATGGGATGGGTTCGCGAACCTTCTCTGGCCATTGTAACTCAATGGTGTGAAGGCAGTAGTTTGTACAAGCATATCCATGTAGTTGGTATGTATCTGAAAACCACTTTCTAAAATTTTTATCCTCAAAACAGCTTCCTCAATTTGAGCGCACGCACAACTGCTTGCTTTAATAGAGAAAAATTCGCATACTTTCTAGAACCCCGCGTGGAATTCGAAATGAGCACTATTCTCGACATTTTTAAACAGATCTCATTGGGAATGAACTATCTGCATTCGAAAAATATCATTCATAGGTAGGTTCTCTACTCACATAGC